GTTTGTATTAACAATTTTTCAATAAAGGTATTTTTGCTATTGTGTGTTCATCTCTCTCTTGAAAGCATTGATTAATAGATTTCAAATAATCCCAACTGTTTTGGTTTGATTCAACAACTGATCAAATCAACCCATAAATTAAAAAGTATTTTTTTTATAATTGACAGTGGTATTTATAGTTTATTTAACAACACTTTTTCAGTGGAGCAGACTATATAGTGTCGGGTGAAAGGATTATGGTGAATAATGAATTGGAAAGGCTTTGGAAGGAAGTGCTCGTGGGCAAATTTAAGGCATTATACTGGCATTTGCCTGGAGGGACTGAGGAAAAACCCCAGTCAGGATAGCCGGTCTCCAGGCTGAGATTTGTAATACCATTGGTCAAAATGTAAAACAAAACAAAACAAAGTTTTCTTTGCCGTGCCATAAGCTGTAACATTAGAATGTGGAGCAGTAGGATTGTTATATTCTTTCAGCACTTCAATTTTATGAATGACAAAGATTGAAACAAGATTGGAAAGATGTATTCTTTGGTGCACATTTACATACCAAAGGTGTTATTCACACCACATCAGGTAGATTGGTGCTGCTGTAATGCGATCCAAGGTCATTTTCATCTTAGGTCATTCATGCATAAATATGCCAGATCATAGTTGCATCTTAGGTCGTTCTTGCACTGATCTACAATTTTTGCACGGCAGTGTGTTCAAACAATGAAACTTTATGTCTTCTGGGTTGTTGCATTGTGTAGTCTGGTCGATGGTTACCAACGTTTCAGAGGTCATATGAATATTCATCGACCTGATGACGGAGGCAGTATGACCTCTGAAACGTTGGTTAACATCGACCAGACTACACGGCGCAATAACCCTGAAGACGGATATCTTCATACTCACCGCTGTGAAAACCTTAAATCTTACATGTTCAAACAATGTTGTCAAATAACTACTTCTGGTACCTACTCCGACACTGTCATGGGAATATACGGAGCGTACGGTGTTGATTAACTACCAGGACTAGCACCTCCCACCTCCGTGGGATGGGGCGCCTGTAGGTGATAAGTTCCAGTTTGTGACAAGTACGTGTCGTGAGTGGTTATGTTGCCATGCTGTCGGTTGAAGCCACGGAACTGACAGCGTGAAGGTAAGGTTTTAATTACGAACACTAAGCTGTGCTGTTTATTGCGCGTGGTTTACGGTTGAGGTATAAACATTTCTGAACTTCCAGAAGTCTAACAATTGGTGAAGAAACGTATGGAGCATAAATATCTTGTTCATCTGAACAATAGTACTATAAATTTAGGACTTCGTTGAAAGTTGGCAGGGAGGCAAAATAACTTAGGATAGTTCAAGCTGATGGGGATTGTACAGGTCCACTTTCAGAACAACCCATTCATCTATTAAAACGTGGACGGTCCTCATGCCTTTCACGATCAATCAGTTCGATTAATTAATTCATTCTTCATTTTACAGAAATATCTTTAGTCTGTTAATACGATAAACTACAATTTACATGTTCTTGTTGTTCAGTGCAACTCGGAGAACTTCAGAGAACTTGTTTTGATTTGAAATTGCGTGTTCACTGTGCATTTTTTAATGAATTTGCCGTGTGTTCGAAACGAGATGACTCTTTTGGCTGAACAATCCATTCAAATTAATGGCTGATTGACTATAATTATAAAGTGTTAACAGCCCAATACGTATGTGAATTTTTGTAACTACATCACAGCAGTAAGTGGCCATACACCAAAGATCCGTTTGTGAGATATGCGACTTACCATCGCTAAAACTGACCTTTTAAATTGCCGATCTCATTGCCTTACGCACGAAAAACCTTGTAAAGAAGCAATTATTAGAATATAATTCCGAATTTCATAAAAGTATACTATAATTTTTCGCCATTCAAATGGCTCAGAATAGGACATGATATTTGCATTTATGAACGCGATAATGAAATTTTCTGTTCTCATAGAAGTTGAGACTTGTTAAACCAGCAGAGTACACAAGGACATTTCAAGAAGGCCCTGCATATTGGAGGTAGTTGGTAATAACAATTAGTAACTATAGACCTAACAATAATAATTCAATTAATTTATTAATACCCTTGACAACAGCTGAATACCAATAATAATAAAACATTTTAACGAGAAGGAAGCATTTCTTCCACAGAACATAAATTGTGCACTGGTGTAGCAATCACTGATGTAAGGGAAAGTTTTTCTTGGGGACGAAAAGTAGGTCAGAACATTACGATAAGTCTAGCATAAGTTTTATCTTCCATATACTTACGAACATAAGATATAACAACAGTCCTTACCTCTGAAACGTTGGTAAACTTTTACCAGACCAGACAGCCATTTTCATGTTATCCTAAAATTCTTAATACTCCTTTCCTTTTTTGAATTATCCTACAAAGGATATCTGTTATCGGATGTGGCTTCCTACGAGGTCACAGAATCCAGATTATTTTGTGTGGTTATTTATATTATCTGAAGCTGGTATTTCTTAAAACGAATCAAGAAGTCGCCATTCACAACGGTCTCGCATATCCTGAACACTGGGGTCGCGGGTTCGAATTCCATTCGAGGCATGGATGTATGTTCATATTCTTTTCTGCTATGGTATTAACTGTACGTAGAGATCTCCCTATGGGCCCAAGGTCTCGTCTAGCATTAGTTGACCAGCGTGAAATTAACCGCACGCCTTAACCACCCCGATAGCTGTTAATTAAACGAACATTTGAAACAAATATTTGGATACGCGTTAGGTAAAGTTGAATATCTCAAGGTAAGTTAAATTCTACTGAACTGTTACGAAACGGGAGATGGTGTGACGCACGAAGTAAATAAATATTTATAAAATGAACTAAACAAGTAGTTTTGACTGCGTATTAGGATAATTTCGCTGTCGTGTTGTGCGTCTGCAGTGAATAAAATTGCGTCGGTCCTACCGAAATATAAAAGTAACCGAAGGTAGTTTTCGACGCAGTTGCAATAAAAAATGCTCTTGTTAGCTTCTCCATGTCTGGGCGTCCGTCCACGGACGTGGTTCCGTGAGGAACTTGATGCATCATTAATTAAACTATAATCGTAACATCGGCACAGAATTTTGGCGGGTTTTCCCCAAAATGGGGTTTCACAACCAAATAATAAGGCGTCTTCGCCTTGAAGTTATTCATAATATATTATAACTCACAACTTGGAAGACGACATTCCTTTGACGTCATTGTGTATCTGTGAGATGCTTCCGAAGAAATATAAAGAGAGAAATTAAAGCTACGCTATTTCTTAAACACACAGAATAAAATAGTTGTCTGTTACACTACTTGTAACTCTGCACTAAATTAGAGTGTAAATATTTACTCTGGCTAGCGACATCTAAACAGACGTAGGAGTTGCGTTCTTTGTGACAGTGTCTTGAATTTGATGCTCATTTGTTGGAACAAACAATTATAAGTCGGTAAAGACATTGCCATTGCGAAGATATCTAATTCAGAAAAATGTTTAACGGCGTTGCCTTCAACTGAACAGGTTATTTAGGTTCGAATAAGATGGCGAAAACGATCGTGAAAGGAGAAGGGCAAGGATTTGGAAGGAGACGGTCGAGTATATCTTAAGGCACTGTACTGAAAATACTGAGAATGACCACGAGAATCACCAGTGAGTAAAATCCGTATCTGAGCAGAGACTCAAAACAGGTCAACTCTCGTGCACAAATTCAGAATATTTCCGTTAATGCCAACTTAATCACTACGTCCAAAATAACTTATTTCTTTTCCTCATGTTTCGTTAAATAGCGTAAAGATAATTTAAATAAATAAATTCTGATCCCATACTGAGATATATTTCATGTCACACTCTTATTTCTTAAGATGAATCTTTTTGAGGAAATGACGTATTTGTGAGCAAGTTAACACCCTTCACAGACGCCGAATCTGAATTTCCCCCCTCCAAAGTTATTATGAAATTTTGTTTAAAGTTTTTAAGCCGAAGATGGACATGGTTGTACTCCCAAGCAGGCCTGCAGAAATCCCGATCTCCATGGTGTCCAAAATTTTCATGATGATGGGTTGTTATCTCAGCATATTATGTAACATGTTTCGTTTTATTTGTGAGAAGAATAAATATCTCATTCAATACCAAACATGCCAAGACTTTATCCATTTGTGATGTATTAATATCACTGTGTATATTCTGGCTAATGGTTTTTGGAGGTTGATACTAAATTTGTGAGAAATTTGTGCAAATTTGCTCCCAAGTACTGATAATTTACTTGATTC